GTCAATAGTACAGTTTTGACCCTTAAACAACACAGGGGTTAGGGTTACTGACACCACACTGTGGAAAATCCAAGTAAGCTGTACTAGTCTATGAACACGTGTTTTTTATGGTATATGTATTATATACTGTATTCTTACATTACAACAAGCTAGAGAAAACGTTATTAAGAAAATCACAAGGGGGGGCATGCCTGGGTGGCGTAGTCCGTTGAGCCTCCACCTCTTGGTTTCAGCTCAGGTCGTGATCTCAGTATAGTGGATCAAACCCTAGGCCAGGCTCTGCACCCAACGCAGAGTCTGCTTGGGGTTCTCTCTCCCTCTGCCCCTCCCCACCATGCACTTGCGAGCATGCGTGCACTCTCTCTTTAAAGTTTTTTTTTTTTTTTTTTTTTTTTGACAGAGAGAGACACAACGAGAGAGGGAACACAAGCAGGGGGAGTGGGAGAGGGAGAAGCAGGCTCCCCGCAGAGCAGGGAGCCCAATGTGGGACTTGATCCCAGGACCCTGGGATCATGACCTGAGCCGAAGGCAGTCGCTCAACCGACTGAGCCACCCAGGCGCCCACGTGCACTCTCTCTTGCTCAAATAAATAAATCTTTAAAAGAAATCTTAAGAACAGAAAATACATTTATAGTACTGTATTTATCAAAAAATATCCACATTTAAGTGAACCCACACAGTTCAAACCTGTATAGTTCAAAAATCAACTTTAAAGTATTCCACATTGAAGGACTATAAACAAATTTGAATATAAAACTGTGCTACCATCTGTTAGTTTCCCCAAATGCCTAACATGATGCTTTATACATAAAAGCATTTAATAAATGTCTGTTGAATAACATTTAACACACACCATCAAATTCCTAAACCTTAATTACATCCTTAAGCCAGTGATAGTATTCTTTTTTCTTTCTTGCATCACAGACGTTTTTTCTAATGAAATCTTAGATTGAATCCCAATATGTGTTTTATAGGAAGATTTTATATGTATTCTATATACAGAGTAAAGCACATGTAAGTGGCATCTCATTTTATATACATTTATTTTAAATTAAAATTTACAGCATTTCTTATTATTAAGTGAACTATGAGAATAGGAGGCTGTTTCAGTGAATATAAAATTTGAAGCAGAGGGTTAGGAGTGGTGGTTTGCACTGAGCCATTTCCATATCCAGCTTATTTCTGTGTTTTGACACAGAATTTCACATGAAATCCTCCCTGGTCTAGGTACTCAATTTTTCACATGATTTTAGATGATTCAGAAAATCCTGATCCACACAACTAAGCCACAGTGTGCAATTTTATGTGAGTGGACATTGGCAGGGTAACGAATTCCATTTTTTTAAAGCTCAGATACAACCTCCTATTATCTGTAACACATTAAGAAAGCCATATACAGCAATTAAGAACCCAGAGTCAGATTTAAATCCTGGCTCTCCTCTGTTTAACAATGCAGACCGTAAGCAAGTTATTCAGCCTCAGTTTCTGCATCTGAAAACTGGAAATAATAATAGTTCTTCCCTCATAAGAAGTCCTTCTTGTACAAGAACAAGACAGGCTGCACAAATTAATGCCTCAAGAGTCTTCAGTGTGTTAAGAGACAGGCAGTACAGGATACACTGAGGTGTGCAGCTTTAATGTTTTATTATATACTGAACCGTTATTTAAACATTTATATGTGTAAAGCATAAAGAATAGCAGTATAATGAAACCCATGTTCCCAATTGGCCCGTTCCTTGTCCTCCCCAGTGAGGACTGTTACCTTTGCCATACTTTTTTTTTTAAGATTTTATTTATTTATTTGACAGAGAGAGACACAGCGAGAGAGAGAGAGAGAGCACAAGCAGGGGGCAGTGGGAGAGGGAGAAGCAGGCTTCCCGCTGAGCAGAGAGCCCGATGCGGGGCTCGATCCCAGGACCCTGGGACCATGACCTGAGCCGAAGGCAGACGCTTAACGACTGAGCCACCCAGGCACCCCTGCCATACTTTATTTTTAATTTTTGTTTAGCACTTACCCTACTACTATGTGCCAGGTTCTGTTCAAAGTGCTTTCCAAAACATCCACATCTCCCCCTCCCCACAACCCCACGAAGTGGAGAGCATTACTGTCTGCATCCTACAGATGCAGAGCGTGGGGCACAGGGAACTATGTAACAGCAGGCTCACAGTTTGTACACGGAGCTGCCGTGATCTGAACCCAAGCAGTAGGCCTCCAGAGTCTCTGTTCTCCAACACACCCAGGCTGGACACAGTGTTAAGGGCACTCTCACACTCCCTACGTGACTGAATACAGACTTAACACCCACCATGTGCCAGGCACCGTGCTGGGCACTGCAGAGCTTAAGGACAAGCTTCTTCCTTGCTGGCACCTGACAGTTCCCAGAACAATGGTTCCTCCCACAGGTGCTGACTCCAGCTCTCTCACAGGCCCAGGCAGCTGTAAGCGCCTGGAGGGGCTGTGTGTGGCCTTGAGGAAAAGGCAAGCAGGCCCAGCCACTTCACCTTGGTGTTGGCCAGGGTGGTTCTCTGCAACAATCAATCCCCAAGGAACCACGGGGAAATTCCAAACGTTCTGCCCCCACTCCCAGCCTCTTCCTCATCAAGGCTTCCTCTGAGAAGTGAACCACATAGGGCTGCGCAGGAATCCGCAGCCTTTGCCAGCAAGCAGGCCAGTTGCAGCCGCATGGCCCAGCCCACAAGGAAAAGACCTCAACTTTAGCGCATGTCACTCCCCTAATTATTCCCTGTGCCTGGAGTCCAACAATAACAGAGCGTTTTTTCACAAGCAGCTCCCACCACGAACCTTGCAGCCTCATGCGTGCAGCCAAGCACTGAGAAGTGCTAAAGGGTCAGGGGGTTTGTGTGGCCAGCAGTCCCAGGCCTCTGGGGGAGAAACCCGGCCACTTTCTAGTCCAAAATCTGGCCCCAGAAAAACTGCCTGAGGCTTCAGCTGCCTCCAGGGCCCACTTCCTGGGGCTGGGCTAGGTCACTGTGGGTGGGGCCCTAAAGAAGGGCCAGCAGATCAGAAAGCAGCTGCCCCCAAGCCACCAAGGGAAAGAAGCAAGGGGTGGGGGACAGGAGACTAAAGAAAGACGTTTCCGGGGCGCCTGGGTGGCTAAGTCATTAAGCATCTGCCTTCGGCTCAGGTCATGGTCCCAGGGTCCTGGGATTGAGCCCCGCATCGGGCTCCCTGCTCAGCGGGAGGCCTGCTTCTCCCTCTCCGACTCCTGCTGCTTGTGTTCCCTCTCTCACTGTCTCTCTCTGTCAAATAAATAAAATCTTAAAAAAAAAAAAAAAAGATGTTTCCTCCAGGGTCACATTCACCAACTGCTCCCAAGGCTATACTATATGGCAAAGATTGGTTTTTTAGTAAATTTATTTACTAAATACCAGTCCTGGCAGATACTGGGATTGGGGGGTACAATTCTGGGATATAACAGCAAGTAAAACAGCAAAGTCCCCTGCATTATTGAGGTGGGGGGAGGCAGCAATAATCAAATTAATAATTTCAGATTGTGATTAGTGCTTTGAAGAAAATAAAATATCATTGTCCCATGGGGTGGACAGGGAAATGAATATGAGCTAAGATCTAAATGAGGAGGAGCTAGCAAAGCAAAGGCAAGGGAAAAGCATTTCAGGCAGAAAGAACAGAAGTGCAAGACCCCGAAGCCTCTGTCTGATTAAATGCTGATTAGAGGTTTAAAAAACGTTTGATGAAAAACCAGTTCTCTCAAAATTGTAGTACATGGTAGAGTTATTTCCTTAAGAGCATAAAGATCAAAGTGCTATGTTGGAAAGAAATTTGTCCTTGGCTTTAAGGGAAGATGCAAAAAGAATGTCTGTGAATATATATTTACATTTATATGTCTCACAAGGATCTTTTTAAAAAGCCTTTCATGTCCTTTATCCTTTAAACTTTTGTAATATAGGTTGAAAGCACGATACAATCTTTAACTTCCAGCTCCTCATGCACTGAAAGATCTTTCTCCTAGAACTAATGAAGACATCCGTTCTGTCCGGATGTAATTTACCTCCCTTGTTCCAGAATTTGAAATAAGAATGCCATGTACCTCTAACTGCAACTATGTAAAAAAAAAAAATTCGTGTGCACGTGGATTAAGGCGATGGGAGAATACGAAGGGGTGGCGGTAGTTTTTCAATAGTCCTTTGTTGTTATTAAAACTGGGAAGAAAAGAATACATTGTGCATAACCGTGCAATTTTCTTGTCTTTATCTTAATAAATGTGTTTTTAACTGTTTATATCCCAGTTCCACCATCACTGCCACCTACAACCTGTCCCGGCTACAAATAAGTTGAAAAGCGCACAAGGTCTTCACAAACCCTGGTACAGTGAGTGCGTCGGCTCACGTACAATCCATGTGCCCCCTTCTTTCTCTCTGTGGACGGAATTTCTTGGGGATCCTTCGAGATCCCGGCCATATTTCGCCCCTGGCGCTTATTAAAACCAGGTGTGCGGGAAGCGGGCGTTTTGCACAGAAAAAGGCTTCGCCCGGCCCAAAGCTCCCCCTTCCGGTGTGTTTTCTAGAAGGGAGTCGTGAGCTGAGCAAAGAGAAAGCTGGCAACTCGTCCGGGGCCGGGCAAGCGGGGCGTACTTGTCAAGACAGCGCCGCGGCCGGGCCGCGCCAGGGCCAAGTGCGCAAGGGCAGAAAGTGCCGCCGGGGCGCAGAGAGCCGGGGACGAGGGACACTGCGCCTGCGCCCCCAGGAGTGTGGTCCGCGCGCGGGTGAAGCCCCGGAGCCGCAGCCCGGCGCGCGGCGCAGAGAAGGAGCGCGAGGGCCGCCGCAGGGCCGCCGCGGGTCGGGGCTGGAAAGCGGAGCGCGGAGGAGCCGGCAGAGCCCCCGACCCGCCGAGCTCGCCCGCCGCCCGCCTCCAGAACTTGGCGCGGGGTCGCGCGGCGCTTACCGTCGGCGGCCGGTGGCGCGCAGGTCTCCAGGGGCCCGGCGGGGGCAGGGGGCGCGTGACAAGCGGCGGGCCGGCGCGCTCCGAGCTGGGGTCGCGGGCCTCGGGGCAGCGCGGCGCCGGGTGCCTGTGGGCCGCTCGGCCCGCGACCTTTGACCCGCGGCCAGGCCTGGGCGGGCGAAGAGCGCGCCCCCTCTCGAGCGCGCCGGGAAACTGGTGAGAGAGCTGGGAGAGCCTCGCCCCCTCCGCCTGAACCCCAACTGCAGGCCCAGCCTCGGGGGTGAAGGCGTTGGCTACTTGTGGGGGTCAGAGGTTTGAGTGTGGGCGCTCTCATCAGACTCTGGAGCTGTTCAAGGCGGAGACCACGGGACTAGAAGAAAGAGGAGCATTAGGTTACAAACGGCTAAGGGGCAGAGAAGAGGGACTCCCCAAAAATATGATTCCACATTTTCTAAGATTATTTATGTATTTATTTATTTATTTGACAGAGAGAGAGCACAAATAGGCAGAGTGGCAGGGAGAGGGAAAAGCGGACTCCACCGAGCAGGGAGCCCGATGAAGGGTTCGATCCCGGGACCCTGGAATCATGACCTGAGCAGAAGGTAGCCGTTTAGCCAACTGAGCCACCCAGGTGCCCCTGGCTCCACATTTTGAGCGGCCACTTCCTATTCCTTGGATCAAATGGCAAGCCAACTTACTTTTTCCTTTTCTCTAATTACAGTTTTTTGTTTTTTGGGGTTTTTTTATTTTTTTTATTTTAATGAGAGACAGAGAGCATGAGAGGGAGGAGGGTCAGAGGGAGAAGCAGACTCCCTACTGAGCAGGGAGTCCGATGCGGGACTCCATCCCCGGACTCCAGGATCATGACCTGAGCCGAAGGCAGTCGCCTAACCAACTGAGCCACCCAGGCGCCCCTCTAATTACAGTTTTTAAGAGCCCTTTACGAGGCCCTGTATAGCTTCCATCCCCGCAGCCTTGCATGAATTTTCAGTAACCCCAGGAAACAGCCGGCCAGACAAGAGGGTGAGAAGGCCTCTCATCCCAAATGTTTGCCTGCACCCTCTGCTCCATGAAAACCACTCCAAATTGGGCCACCCCAGCATGTCTTCTGGGCTTGGTGCCCTGTTCGATGGGAAAAAGTGTTCTCAGCCCCAACCCCAAGATCCTGTGACAGCCAACAAAGAATTCTAGAGATGTTTCCAGATTCAAGCAACCCTAGTAATTTCTGGCATTGTCTAAAGCCAGTTTCTCAAATTGTGGTCCAGGGACCACCTACATCAGATATCCTGGGATCCTTGGTAGAGAGATTCAGGACCTAGGGCCTACACTATAGATGATAAATTGGATTAAGAATGATGAGGCCCAGAAGGGGCGCCTGGGTGGCTCAGTCGTTAAGCGTCTGCCTTCGGCTCAGGTCATGATCTTAGGTTCCTGGGATTGAGCCCAGCATTAGGCTCCCTGCTCCGTGGGAAGCCTGCTTCTCCCTCTCCCACTCCCCCTGCTTGTGTTCCCTCTCTCGCTGTGTCTCTGTCAAATAAATAAATAAATAAATAAAATCTTTGGGAAAAAAAATGATGAGGCCCAGAAATCTGCATTTTAACAAGCTTGCCTTGTGAGGTTTCTGTTCAGTATGGTTTGAGAATTACTGGATTTGGCCCTTTATTTGACAGTGCTGATATGGTGCTTGTTTTTCCATCTGGAGCACTCCCTCAAAACTCTCAACAGTGTTAAACATTATTCTTTTTTTTTTTTTTTTTTTTTAGTGTAGGCTACAAAATTTGGCTTCCAAACAAACTGCCTTATTTCATGAATTTTTTAAAGAAAATTATGCCAAAGCATTTCTTCCCACTGTATAGGGCTCTGAGCACCTCCTGATGATAAAAAAAAAAAAAAAAAGTAAGTGGATTATGCTGAGTGCCTTCTACTAACGTTGGGCTGTTTGTCATTCTGAGCCAGACCTACTCCTGCCCTGCCGCTCTTGACTGAATGTTTGCATCCCCCAAAATTCATGTCGAGACCTCATCCCCAGTGTGATGGTAATTGGAGGTGGGGTCTTTGGAAGATGATTAGGTCATGAAGGCAGAACCTGCTGGGATTAGTGACTTTATAAGATCTTGGCTTGGGAAAGTTATCCTTCCATGTAAGACACAGCTAGTGGATGACTGAACCAGGAAATGGGCTCTCCAGACATCAAATCTGCCAGTGTCTTGATATCCTAGCTTCCAGAACTGTGAGGAATTTCTGTTGTTTATAAGCCACCGAGTCTATGGTATTCTGTCATAGCAAGCCCAAATGGACTAAGATACCTGCTGGTTTTTCTTCTGCTTCACTCAGGCTTCAATCAGGGCAGCTTTCCTGGGTAAAATGGAAGCCAAGTCTGTGCTCATGGTGGTTTCCAAACTACACTGTACAACAAAATCATCTGTGGAGCTTTTTAAACTACTGACCCACACAGAATGTCAGCAATCCCAAACATACTTGTCTGCAGAAAATTTATTTCACAAAGCATCTCATGGAATTAATGAGCTATCTAAAGTAGTACTGTCAGAGGAGCAGTGAATTGAAGTTGAGGAAATAATTAAGGGGGTAAACAGAATTTTTGCAACAAAAATGTTTAACACATTCTTGCTTGCAATATCAAGAATTTGGAAATAACCCAAATTTGTCCAGCAGTAGAAAGCTGGTAAAATAAATATGGTACATTCATGTGAAAGAATACAAGACAACTATTAACATAGTTCAGAGAATATTTATTGACCTGGAAAGATGTTCTTGGTGAGTAAAGTGAAAAGAGCAACATGAACAATTGCTCCCTTCTTGTTTAAAAAAAAAAAAGTTTAGTGGTAACTGACAGAAGACCACAAAAGCAAACTCCTAAGCAGGTGATAGTGAACACAGAAAAGAATCCCTATTTGAACTGCAGAACTGGGGAACAGAGCAGAAAACAGAGCTTTAGTTTGAAATGTATTGAAGAATCAATTAGATAGCCTCTCCAAGTCATTATAGCTGGGTGACTGCGCCCCACGGCAGCAAAACACCGAAGGTTTATTCTCTGGAGAGGATGAGTGCATTAAAAACAAGGGCACCTGGGTGGCTCAGTCAGTTAAGTTGCTGCCTTCGGCTCAGGTCATGTTCCCAAGGTCCTGGGATCAAGCCCCACATCTGGCTCTCTGCTTTCCGGGAAGCCTGCTTCTCCCTCTCCCTCTGCCGCTCCCCCTGCCTGTGCTCTCCTGCTCTCTCTCTCTCTGTCAAATAAATAAGTAAAATCTTAAAAAAAAAAAAAAAAATAAGAGGATTCAATGAAAATTTAAATACTGCCCAAGTCCTCTTCCCCAACAGGCTGGAAGTCTGACATACATCCTCCAGAGAGGAGATTGCAAGATTCCTTTCTATGTCATGAAGGGCTCCTGATCAGATCCAATAAAACTGCCCTCTGGTGAAGCCCATAGTGGACAAACCCCGTCCACACACACGGAGCTTCTAATCAGCGTTTTTCTGCCCACTTAGCAGATACCAAGAATCACCAGATGTTAGAAGGAAGATTCTAATGTCAAAGATGTGGTAAGAGCAAACAGAAAAAAACAAAGACTATGAAAAAGAAGAAGAAAAACTATTTTTTTAAAAAGATTTTATTTATTTATTTGAGAGAGAGAGAGGAGAGCACATGAGAGGGGGGAGGGTCAGAGGGAGAAGCAGACTCCCTGCTGAGCAGGGAGCCCGATGCAGGACTTGATCCTGGGACTCCAGGAGCCTGAAGGCAGTCACTTAACCAACTGAGCCCAAAAAAAACATTTTTTAAAATTATGATTCTCAGAGAGATAAAAGAAGGTATAAATCCTTGAAACAAAACAGTGTGTTAAAAAAAAAAAAAGGAACTAGGAACAGGCGGAGCTCTTCAACATTATATATATGAAACTATAAGGCGTAAAGACATAGGTGAAAATATACGAAAATAAAGGAAAGACCAGATCAACGAAATGATAAGTATTCCAGGAAGAAAGGACCGAAAAAAAAAAAAATAGAGGGAGGCTATCATTAAATAATTAATTATTGATTAATCAATAGGATTTCCCCCCCACACATTGAAAGCCATGAGTTTCCTGATTGAAAGGACCTCTTGAGTGCTCAGAAAAACGGTTTAAAATAAACCTACACAAAGGAACATCGCTATGAAATTTCAGAATATTAGTACAAATAGATTTTAACCACATCTAAAGAAAAAAAAAATGAGTGACCTAGAAAGGATCAACAATCAAAAACAGCTTCAGACTTCTCGACAACAACACTAGAAGTTGGAAGGCAATGGTAGCTAATATTTTAGACTAGATTTTAACTCTATTGGACTATAGTAAGTGCTTTACAATTCATCCTCACCACAACCCTATGAAATAGGTGCTCTTCTTACCTCCATTTTACAGGTGAGAAATCTGAGGTACAAAGGAGCAAAGTACAAACTTGCCTAAATGATCTAGGTAATAAATGGTAAGAGCTGGGATTGAAACTAGGCAGTCTGGCTCCAGATTCTGAGATCTAATTGGTATACCATACTGAAACAGTGCTTTCAAAATTAAACGTGAGAAGTACATCCAACACAGAATTATATATCCAGCCAAATTATCAATAAGTGAAAAATAAAGATATTTTTAGACATGCATACACTCAAAAAAATCTACCTTTCACATACCCTTTCTTAAGGACAAATAAATGATTCCAGCTATATTAGGTACCAGGGTGTGTGGAGAGGTGAGAACAAGGAGTTGTTTAATGGGTACAGAATTTCACCTTGGGGGGCGCCTGGGTGGCTCAGTCATTAAGCGTCTGCCTTTGGCTCAGGTTGTGGTCCCGGGGTCCTGGGATCGAGCCCTGCATCAGGGTCCCTGCTCGGTGGGAAGCCTGCTTCTCCCTCTCCCACTCCCCCTGCTTGTGTTCCCTCTCTCGCTGTGTCTCTCTCTGTCAAATAAATAAAATCTTAAAAAAAAAAAAAAAAAGAATTTCACCTTGGGAAGATGTAAAGAGTCTTGGAGATGGATGGTAGTCATGGTTGCACAATAATGTGAATATGCTTAATGCCGTTGAATTGTACACTTAAAAAGGGTTAGAATGGTAAATGTTAGGTTATGTTTTACCAAAAGGAAAAAAAAAGCCACCAGAGGAGGAGGTATGCCACCCAAATGAGGGAGTGAAACAAGAAAGAGGAGAGTTGGGATACAAGAAGCAAGAAATCTAACTCAAAAGCAAGGCAAAAGGATCCCCAGGATAATGATGGAGGGAGGTCTGAGGATAACAGCTGTCCAGTGGGCACAGAGAACAACATTCCAGAATGGAGCAGGTCAGAAGGTTCCAGAAGTGATGTCTCCAAAAAGAGGAATCGATGAAAAACATGTCTTTTACTGAGAACATACATAGCCAACTGGGAGATAATTGGAGGCTACATTAATAATGACATGAAAACCTAAGGAAACAAACAAATAAGATGATCGTTATTTCTGGGAAAAGTTCAAATTGGCATAGAAATTAAAAAATAATCTTGGTATTCTTTTATACTGCATGGCTCAGCAGTGAATTGCATGTATCTCATCATGAGAATGTGACCACGAAACACTGATCAAACCAAAGCTATGACAGAATTGTACCGAGAAGATGAGTGGTGTGTACCAGGGTAGGCAAATGATCATGAAAGCTAAATTCTTAAGAATCCGTAGATAATGCCTACTAGAGAAAAACCAAGAAGTGGCTTAGACACATGTGTTAAGTACCAAAATAAACAACTAAAAGATTTAAAAGCAGTTGTCTCTGAAGAAGCAGAAAATTGAGGAGGCGGAGTGGTTTGGAAATTGCTATTTTTTGGATTTTTTTTTTTTTTTTTTTTTTTAAGATTTTATTTATTTGCGAGAGAGAGAATGAGAGACAGAGAGCATGAGAGGGAAGAGGGTCAGAGGGAGAAGCAGACTCCCTGCTGAGCAGGGAGCCCGATGTGGGACTCGATCCAGGGACTCCAGGATCATGACCTGAGCCGAAGGCAGTCGCTTAACCAACTGAGCCACCCAGGCGCCCGGAAATTGCTATTTTTTATGATAAGCTTTGTTGAACTATTTGACTCTTCAAACCACATGGACGTGTAAGTTTGGTAAAAATTAAAACAAACAAACCAAAAAAAGACAAACACAATTCTGAAACTCTTCCAGATGATCCAGAAAAGTCTATTTCTATCTCCTTGTTTTCTCAAATCAAACTCACTTTTTTCCAAGCAGCAGTTTTCTGCATGACTCCTCTATTATTCTCTGCCATTGTACACACATTTTCATAAAATAAGCTTTTGTGAGCTAGCCTGGGAATTCAACCATTGCTTATATTACTTCTCCAGAGATGTGTAGCTTCTAACCAAACAACTTCCAAAAAAACTTTCAGAACTTCTGTTTATTTATTGGAGACTACATTATCCATTCCCATAAGACTTTACATTACAACTGAAAAGGCATTTGAAAAATCAGAGAATATTCTGATTGCATGAAACACCATTCAAATTGTTTGGTAGAGTCAGTGAGTGGTGTGGCTCCTGGAAAGAGTAATGGGCAGGGGGTAGTCCCTGGGGAAGTCTTCATCAAAGAGGCTCAATTCAAGCTGAACCTGCCAGGATGGATTGTAGCTTGTGTAAATGGTGGTATCGACCAGGACTCTTGATGCAAGTGATAGATACTCAAGCCAAACTAGCCAAGCCAGAAGTAGAATTTTTTAGTCTGCATAACTAGGACATCCCAAGAGATCTGGCTTCAGGCAAAGATGGATCCTGGGTCCAGGAGGGGCACTAAGCTCTCTCCATGTCCATTACTCCCCCTCTGCAGCTCTAGTCTTACCCTTTCAGCTTTGCAACATAGGTGCTGATGGGATGAGTGGATAACTTTATTGGCTCTATATCGAAATCCCAGGGGAAGACCCTGATTGGTCCTCCAGCCGTTCAGGTGAATGGATACTATGGTGGGCCAGGCCTGAATCAGCTGCCAGAAAAGGGAAGATGGGGAATAAAGTGCTGGGGTGCCAAAAATAAAACCTATTACATCCCTGTGTAATTGTACATACCAAATACGCTCTATGGAGATTTATTAGAGCTTGGGCCTATTGGCAGTATAAGTAAAAATGCCTCATAAATGCTAAAGCACCATGAAATGTTGGTTGTGAGTCAGTGCTAAATGTAAGTCTATATTGGCCCTGCCCAGCCAAACTGCAATTACTCCTGGATCTTTAGCTCTCTGAATGTTTTAAGTTTTTCTTTCCTCCTAGCAGATTCATTTGTCACAGTTTCCCCGAATATTGGCCTCTTTCTTCTCACAGAGTCTGCTTCCAACTGCAGTGAAAAATTCGTTCATGTCATTTTTCAAAGGAAGCCAGAAGGAAAAAAAAAATGTCCAAAGTTGGAATAGTTTGAAACTGAAAACATAATGGATGTATGTGTGTGTAATCAGATTGTTCTCAGCATCTTTCACTCTACCGTTTCCCTAATCTATCGAGTCACTTTCTTGGCTTCGTTGCTCTAGTCCTCAAATAAGCCAAAAATATTTTGCTGATACTAGCTGCAATTTATTGAGTGATAGGATATTTGTAATGTACTTTGAGACTGAGCTTGTAGCCCTGAAGATTAGGCAATTAATTAACAGAGAAATATTTTTGCCATCTAGAGAAAAAACCAGTTTCAGAATAATTAACAGTCTATATTGGAATTTCCAGTTTTTATAAGGCTATTTTAGACATCTGATTTTTAAGTAGGTGTGAAGTGTTCATTTACTGCTGACAATGTGAAGTAGGCTGCTGCCTAAATTTGCTTCTGATAAACCTCTCAGTGATGTCAACACTTGAATACCTAAGGCTACATTGAGTTTTGTATTTGAAGGTATATGGATGAAAGCTAACTACCTGTAAGTCTGAGTTTAACTAAAAAGACCTTAAGCCAGATCCTGATAATATTCTCTATAATGGACACTAGCAGGATCTTAGGACATGGCTTTTCCTTCGTTAGCACAAAATTACCCAAACAAAACATTATTAGATGACTACTCAAGGCCATTCTCAATCCACTTCTTCCTCACCAGCTTCCCACTGCAGAGACTAAAAATTCCGGGTATTTATTTTCCCAGCCTCCTCTGCAGCTAGATGGCCATATGATCCAGTTAAGGCCAGTCAGATGGAAGAGAAAGACGGTTAGGGGATTTGGGGAAAGATTTTTCCTATCTCAGTAAAAGACAAGATGCATAGGGAGAGGACCCTTTTGTGTCCATCCTTCCTGCTTCCTTCTTGTTTGGGTCACATTGGAGCTCTAGCAGCCATGTGTAACCATTGTTGAAACACTGAGTATAATAAAGCAGAAAAAGCCCAGGTCCCTGGGGCCATCATTGAGCCACTACACCAACTGGAATGGCCAGCCTTCACATTTCATACTAAATGTGACTAATAATCTCCTATATTTCAGCCATTGGGTGTTCTATCACTTTTAACCAAGGACATGATTATCTTTTTTTTTTTTTTTTTTTGAGACAGAGAGATAGTGAGGGGTGAGGGGGCAGGCAGAGGGAGAGGAAGAGAGAGAATCTTAAGCAGGCTCCATGTCCAGCACAAAACCAAATGGGGTTCAATGTGGGGCTCAATCTCACAACCATGAGATCATGATCTGAGCTGAAATCAAGAGTCAGATGCTTAACCAACTGAGCCATCCAGGCACCCATTATCTTTAATTAATTCAGGGATATAAATTATTTACCCACTAACCATTCTCCGTTCTCCCCTTCCTGACTCTACCCAGATTTTTATTTGGGTATCCAGTCTTCCTATGTATTTCATGTAGCCCAGTGGATGCAGATTCTGCCCCCACTTCCAGAGGTGATCATCGGTTGACTTAAGTCAGTCAAAAAATTTCACTGCCCTGGCCTGGAGGGTGATTGATTCAAGGATTAGCTGCAACCTAAGTTATCCAACCAGGGTGAACTTCGGATTTGTATTTGGAACGCTAGGAAAAAAGTGCTCTCTCACCTTCTCAACTACTCACATATGAAGCCTGGAAAGCAAACAGAAGGCAGAACAGAAAGACGGAAAGAAACTGAGTCCATGATAATGTCCTTGAGGTGCTGGATCACCCTGGTTTTGCCATTACATGAGCTCATAAATCTCCTTTATTAAAGTCCATTTGAGTTGCATTTTCTGTTCTTTGCAACTTCAGAATGCATTCTGATTTGATACACCTCCTATCTGGACTGATGGGCAACAAAGAGGAAACACCAAATGGCGGCCTTTTAAGAAGTGACAGTGAAAACATCCCTCGATCCACCATATTAGGTAGGTGTATGGTCATTCATCCTTTTTTTTTCAATCACCAAAGCTGGAGAAAAATATGACTCACCAAACTGTCACATGTAATGTCACATGCCACTACCCTGTTGGGCTTTGAGCAAGTTAATTAGCCTGTCTGTGCCTTCGCTTCCGTATAGGTAAAATGGAGATGATAATCGTCTCATAGGGAGGCTCTGAGATTAAGTGAGTTAATGCATGTCAAGTGCCTCTGACAGGGCCTGTTCATAGTAAACACTCAGTAGATGTTGATTTTCATGATGATCAGGAATCCCCTGTCAACTAGGGATTGCACTGGGGAGACCAATATCTCCTGCCAAACATTCCCAGTGATCTTTGTACAAGATATCATCTTGTTGTTGAAGAGCTCACTCCTCTTCTTTCAGTCAAAAGAGAGCAAAATAAGATTCCTCGAGATTTCTAAACAGGCCCCACAACTCCTTAGCTCACACACAGATCTCTTATTCAGAGCTCCGTCCTGCCTTTCAGAAGGACCTGGAGCACTTAAATGCTATTGATTCTCACCCTCTGTGAAAGGGGGTTCTCCCCCTCCGTATCCTCTAACCCCAGGAATCCAGAACTAGCCCTCTTCGTGACAGCACACCAGCTCCACACCCAGCATGAGAAGAAAGACCAGTTGGGGCATGTTTATATTTGGCAATTGCCACCTCACCCCTCAGGCCCCTGGGAAAGACCAGGATGGATTTGTAGACCCAGAGGGAAAGAGAGAAACCAGGAGACTGAGAAGCAGCCTCTGTAAACAGGGTTCCTGGAACAACTGCATTGGTGACTTCATCCCTGGTCAAGGATGCCATAAAAAAGAGAAATATTCAATGATCCCCATTTCACATTGCTGTAAAAGACTTAGAATCAGGGCCCAGAGAGCTTGGGTTCCAGCAACATTCTGCTTTGACAGGACCTTAAAATGCCTTCTGGAGTCAAGTCAGGGAGAAAAATTCTTAAGGTAACTGAGTGCAGCAAATAACCAAGTATGAAGAATTTACTCTAATTGCCAAAAAGGAATATGGCCAAGGCTCCTCAGGAAAGGGGGAAAAAAGTGAAAAAGAAAGCAGAAACATTATGATAAGAAGAGAAGGGATGTTCATTTTCAAACAGGAGATAAGATATGGATTAAAGTTCATCCTCAGAATAGCGTAGCAAGAAACTTTATAGCCAAACTGACTCCCAACCGGAAAGGTCCCTGTTTCTCGGATCTGTTTGAATTATAGGGAAAACTAATTGGATCTTCATGTTTACCATGGAGGAAACCAAGTGTTACTCAGGATGTAAATCCTGGAGGTACTTTAAAAGGACAACGTTGACCTTTACAAGCCTCTAGACTTATAGATCTGTAAGGAGAAAAAAATTGATTTCCTGACCTTTGACTGGTTCCTTGTCATTTTTTTTTTTTTTTTTCCCTCTGCACAGGGGCCTCTATTCCCCTTATTCTCTCCCTGGTGTTATTTTTTCTGACTGTGTCCTCTGTCCCTGGTCAGACCCAGTGGAAGGGAATGGGCCCATTTCCCAGTCCAGCCCTGGGAGAGGCCAGCATGGGCTGAGGTGTGACTCCTCTATACGATGACCCTGGGTGAAGCCTGCTGCCCTTCAGGGGCCTCCACAGTCTCTAGAAGCTGGCTCACCTCTTCAGCAATCCTCTGACAATAAGACTGGCTACCACCTTGGGCACCTACTGTGTGTGGAGTATTGTGGTAAGACATTTTCGGACAATATCTTAATTAATCCTCACAACAACCCTGTGTGTTTGGGCCTCTAAATGGCTACACACAGCTCTCTCATTTCACAGGCCAGGAAACTCCTGTTGTCCTCACCCCATCCTTTGTCCTTCTTCCTCCTTTCTTCAGCCCACCTTCCTGTAAGCAGAGAGGTGAGGTAAGTGGAGGGCAGATCATTGGAACTCAGAATTTCAGGGCTGATGGGACAGCTGCTGCTAAGAAAGGAAACTGAGGCCTAGAGACAGAGCAACTTGCCATACAAGGCTCATGCAGTTCCCGGGAGGCAGGCCCAGGGGCCCCCACAGCAGCATTGTTTCACTATGGCACACAGCATTTTTTCTCATTCACCTAAGCCTGATCAAGGAGGCCACAGTGTATCCCCATTCTTCAGTGTGAAGTAATTCCCTGTGAGCTGTCTGCCATCTTTAGTGTCAGAATCTATAGGGAGAAGAGAGGGGAATTTGGAGGCCATTGCCGGATTGGAGAGAGAAGTGGGGGGTGAGGGGGCAGGGAAATAGATGAGCACACCATGGAGAAGCCAGACTGTGGGAATGACGGTATCATGGGGCAGGGGGTGGACGATGCTAAGTGATTCATCAATTTATCCCCAATCTTCAAGCAAAGATGACCCTTCTCAAAACAGGCAAGGAGCTGGGCAGTGTGATCTGAGATCTGTTTACCTCAAGGACCTGCATAGGGGCCCCAGGTCATTGCGTTTTGCCATTCAAATAGTTTACAGCAACATCTCTTGCTTTTAAGGCATTTGCTTACCATCATGAAGATTTTTGTCGTATTTGTGAACCATCTGCAATATTATTTGCTTAACAATTTAGATCTATTTTTAAAAACAAATAGGTAGGTTTTAGGGGAAAGTTTGCATCGGTAGTATAAATGTAAAGTCAGTGTCATTTGCCAAAAATAGAGGCATAATAATAAATACAATGAAAACAAAACAATGTTATTAGATGCTAGCTAGCTAGTTGTCTGTCAAAGGCTCTGAGCCTCAGCTTTGTTCTCTTTTTGTTAAAAAGAGAGATTACCAAGCGTTAGGTGTTAGGTATTAAAGACAGAGCCAAATGGAAATTGTCTCCTTGACCTAAACCAGAAGGATTGACAGAGAAGTTAAAAGCTGTTGAACATCATCTAAATTATCTTAGGAACTACCAATGGTCTTCATCCCAGACTCTGGGGAGTTCTGTGGGCCCCTTTCATGTTTCTCCAAAAACCAACACAGTTGCACACAAGAATTAATCAATTCATCAGAGACCTATTATCCAACACTGTGAGTTGGAGTGATTCACTTCTCTGGACTTCAGTTTTCCTCATCCACAAAATGGGAGAGAGACCAGATCATGTCTCCCAGTCTTTTCCAGCTCTAGAGCCTACTTCCACTATTATCTAAGGAAACAAATATCAGATCTAGGACATAGGACAGCGTGGATGTAACAGGCAGCCAGATGGTGACTTGAAAGGTGATACAGAAGGGGCCCGAATATTGGGGAAGGGGCGGGGTGTGGAAGTATCACAGATGATAGTCATCCTGTTCCCAGCTTCACCAGGGGCCACTGAAATAACATGTTCAGCCCAAAAATGCTCAGATGGTAAAAATGTAAAACTCTGATCATTTCCTCTTCAACACTCAGATTTCAGAACTAAATTGCATAATTTGTAGGGAGAAAATTTATTTCATTTTCCTTTTAAAAAATCATTATCTACTTTCTGATATGAAGCAGAATAGACTGGTTTCTGTTTGCTTGAGAGGTGGTTTTGGGCAGTGGTTAGAAACTTGGCCTGAATTCCTTCATTTACTAAGGGTGTAACTTGGGTAAGTAAGTCTCCACCTTTTTTGTTTTGTTTTTTTTAAAGATTTTATTTATTTATTTGACAGAGGGAGACACAGCGAGAGAGGGAACACAAGCAGGGGGAGTGGGAGAGGGAGAAGCAGGCTTCCCGCCAAGCAGGGAGCCCAATGCGGGGCTTGATCCCAGGACCCTGGGATCATGACCTGAGCCGAAGGCAGACGCTTAACGACTGAGCCACCCAGGCACCCCAGTAAGTCTCCATCTTAAAAGGGGGATTAATAATTATACCCACTGTGGTACCCATTTGTGGTGCATACCACCATTAAATTGCAGTGATTGGGTAAGAAAATCTGGGTAAAGTGTTTAGCACAGTGTCTAGCAAACAGTAAATGTGTAAACAAAAATACTAGCTCGTAGTGTTTCCTGCCCATCTTGGCCCTTCTACTTGCTGTCCCAATACAGACCCCTTCCCCGCAACGCCTGCCCTGCTCTAGTTCTTCTTTCTGGCCTTGATGATCACTTTTCTCATGCTCCAGCTGGTTCCTCTTGGTATGCCTGTCTCCATGTCCCTTTCCAGACGCAGTCAGCACTCAATAAATCTGTTGAATTGTGTAGAGCCCCTTTTGAAAATAATGGAAGCCCCCTTTCACTGAAAACAGGGAAGATTTTACATGGATATTTTTATACCACCTTCAGATTGGCCGCTGAAAAACCTAACCCCAAAGTGTGTTATACACGAGGAATATCTGTGCAGCATAAGCAACCTTTACAGGGCTTGGTTGAAACAATTCCTAGTTTGTTAAATTAAGATGGGGAAGAGAACATAATCTCCCACTTCTGTTTCATTTCACCCCAGGATAAGGAAGAGAAGAGGATGCAAGTTTCCTAACTGTCCTGGTTTTCTTCTTGGATTCATGTAAGTGTGTTTACAAAATAGACTCAGTGGATTCCTTAGTAACACACACAAGATTAGCCCCTTCTGATATCTGAAAAATATATGAATTGCTGAACTGCTGATGAGAAAGATCCGTGAAGAGTTTTTTTTAATTGGTTTAGTAAGATTATTTCCAGTCAACAATTCCCTAGTTTAGTGGCAGAAGATAGATCTGTTTTCCATTAAAGTTAGATGCCAGACTTTTGAATCACTCAAAATAAAAACTATTCCCTTAAAGAGCCACTTGCTATCATTTGTTTTACAGCAAAAAATAAAAGTCAAGATAGAAACTATTATCACAGAACAGCATGCTGAAGAGGCACCAGCAATGATAAGAACACAAACAGCTCTTATACTGGTACTCAGTTTCCAACCACCGAGGCAGGATCCTCCGGGCTTCGTTGGAAACAAATAAACAAACAAGCCAACTGGCCCTCATTTGTTTCCATCAGCTCAATAAAAATGGCTGCCTCCTACTTGAGAGTTAGAAAATGCTTTCTTGTCTAATTTTTATTTGGTCCTCAGGACATCCCTGGGAGGCACTAGGGTGTGTAAGAGAGATAACATCGGAAACAGCCCCCATGTCCTTAGACTGATGAATGGATAAGTACAATGTGGTACAACCATACAATGGAATATTACTGAGCAGTAAAAAAAGGAGCAAAGGACTGAACTGTGCTATGATATAGATGAACCTTGACAACATTAGACTAAGTAAAAGAAGCCAGTCACAAAGGACCGTATATGGTACGAATCCCTTTCTATGAAATGTCCAGAATAGGCAAATCTATAGAGGCAAAGAGTAGATTGGTGGTTGCCTAGAGCTGAGAGAGTACGGTGGGGTTGGGGTGGTAGAGAGCTGAAGTGGAGGTAACGAAAATATTCCAAAACTGAGTGTGGTGATGGTTACACAACTCTGTGACTACACTAAAAGCCAGTGCATTTTAAACGATAAATGTACCTATTGTGTGGTTTCTTATATCTCAGTAGAGCTGTTTTTAAAAAGAGAGATAACATCATGGAGTCTATTTTTGGCAGTGATGTGGGTTCCATCCCAGCTTGACCACTTAGTTCCTGTACGACTTTAGCCACATTACTTCAACTTTCTGAATCACTAGTGACCTCTCAGAAATAATACTGCCTCCCTTGCAGGGTGGGGCAGAGGATCCGCTCCGTGCTCGCCCGCAGACTGCCTGGCTGGCTGGTGAGGGTGTGCCTTGTACTTGACGCATGGTGACTCTCCTTACGACCATTCTGACGCAGAGCTCACGGAGGCTCAGAGCATGAAACGCCTTGGTGATGGATGGGAAACGGCCTTGACTGGCCTCCTGACACATGGCACAGATCTGCCTTCTCTGTTGCCTTCTTTGAGGCAGAACAGAACGTTTAAAAGAACATCCGAAAAAAAATAAAAATTAAAAAATTAAAAAATTAAATAAAGGAACATCCGATTTGGAAGCAGATACAGTAGGCATTACCCCTTCCATGCACTAGCTCTGTGCTGCTAGTTGAGGACGCAGTGGAAGGCTCAGTGGTCCCTGTCCTAACGGGGTTCACAGAAGAATGACTAGGAGAACCCGTTCAGGAGCTGCATTGACCAGAGGTAGACCATAGGCCCTACCACTGATGGGCTTCAGAATCCTGGGCAGGTTATTTAACTTGCCTAAGATTCAATATCTGCAAGTATCAGATGAAAATCATAATAACACATAATCTCTGTGTCAACTATATTCAAAAAATTTTTTTTCTTTTATTGTGAAGGTGTTTTTTATTTTTTTTATTAAGTTTGGTTTTTTTAGTCCCAGTGTTGTTAGCATATAGTGTTATATTGGTTTCATGTGTGCAATGTAGTGATTTAACAATTCTATACGTTACTCAGTGCTCATCATGATCAGTGTACTCTTAATCCCCTATTTCACCCCCCCAAAATTTTAATAGTAATACATAATCTATAACATCAGTGTGACCATTTAATCAGATGATCTATATGAAGTATTGAATGACACATACTAAACACTAAAGAAATAACTGTTATTACTATTTTATTTATTCTTATCACTAAGAATAGTATCTCTGGCCAGAGGATCATCTTATTCAAATTCTACTAGCTTATTTCCTTATTTATGAACTGGAGATATTCATGATTATCTCGAGCTTTTTATGTAAGCCAGACAAGAAAATGTGTGTACAAAGTATTTTTGACTCGGGATTATTATTTAATCCCAGGAAAGTAGCACCACTCAGAACCCCGAGTGAACCAAAGTAAGGCTTTGTCTTGCCTCCAACAGCAAGCCCTTCTAAATTACAACCCTGGGAAATCAAGATGATAGTAAATTATCTGGGCCATCCCCTGGCCTGGGGGACTTCGGGTTAGGGTTCAGGTAGTAAGTCCTAGAGTAAGTGGACGTGTAGCCAGGCTGCAGATTGATGAGGGCCGAGAGGAGCTGGTTATTTGATCCCCAGGAAATGTTTCTGTGCTGGGGTCACTGTTGCCAGCTTTTGAATCAATAAGGCAGCACCTTTCAGACCAGAAAGTTCAATTCTATTTATCAAGTCAAGAGAAGTGAGAGAAGCAGAGGCATTGATGAAAGCAGGGCACTGGCTAAGCTGCGGTGGAGGCCAAAACTGTACCCCTCCTAGAAGAGGGCTGGATGAGGCAGAGCGTCTCCCGGTTTGCATGGGCTTCTGGGGGCTTCCAAGGGCGGAGGGGGGGAGGTCTGCCCTCAAGGGCTCTACCACCTCTCTGACCTCTCCAGAGAAACAATCACCAGGCACCAACTCATCCCAAACGCCTTTATTAAACATGTACCAGGGGCCAGGCACCATTCTCGGCACAGCTAATACTCATTCGTGCATTCGTACAACGGTAAATATTGAGCACGTACTCTGTGCCAGACACTGGGTTAAATGGAACAAGGAATGAGACATGGCCACTCACCGAGTTTCCAGTTTCATAGGCGAGAGGAGGAAATCAGCCATTACAGAGTGATAAACAGTAGGAGCAAGGACTCAGCAGGGTGCTCTCAAAACACATAGGAGGGAAACCAGACCTGGAGGAATCTAGGATGGCTTTCCAGAGGAGGTGACACTTCCGTCAGGCACTGAAGGATGAGTAGAAGTTACCCATAGGAAAAGGAGGAAGAGACTGCAAGCAGAGGGAGTAGCATATCCAAAGGTCTAGATGTGAAACCCAGAGTGTTTTTGCAGAATAGAAATTGTTCCACTTGGCTGTAGTAAAAAAAGTACGTGATGGAGACGGACCAGAAACATGGCTAAAAAAGATTAACTGAAGCCACGTATCACCTACCTGCTCAAATTATTCCGTGGTGTTTCTGACCTGGCCGAAACACTCCTTAAGAATCCCGGCATGTGGCTCGACAAACAAGGCCAAGAAGAATTGTTTGAAAGAGTAATGGTCCCTTGCCATGTGTGCCACCATCTGGGGACTGAGCAACAACAGAGGCTCCTCCCTCGATTCCCACTGCTAGCTAGCGAGGCTGCCTCCCGAGTCTGAAGGCCTGCCAGCCAGCTTCAGTCCCCCAGGAAGTATCTGTGCCCCAAAACCTAGAGCGGGCACACTGTGTAAATCATGACACAAAAAAGCAACCATCGTCGAAATGTGGGTTCTCTTGGTGACCCTATGTTCATAACTCGAAACCAAAACACCCCTTTCACCCTCCCCCTACTCCCTTTTCCACTATGTTAACTTGGCCTTTGAAGTCACTAAAAACTCCCCGAAGGGGGAGACCCCAGGAGGCAGGCTGGCCCCTTATCAAGGAAATGAATCAAACTCACCCTTTTATGTTATGGCATCATATCCCTTGGGTACTTCTCCCAATCTGCATGTTACGTGGCCTCCCTGGGTTCCCATCTAATGCACTCCCTCGAGTACTTGTCACCTGTGGGTCTGGGGCAAAGAGGAAGGATGTTCCACCAAGCAAGCTACATGGCCGCCAGGACGGGGTGATGGGCGGAGGCTCTGGTTCCCTTGGTGAAGGGAAAAAGACGGAGAGGGGAAAGGAAGGACACAAGATGAGCTAACTGAAAAGGCTTTCCTTGGGAGATATACCTATGTATTTATATGTGTGTGCTTGACTAAGAGTGGAGCGGCTGAGTGTTTCTCAAACTTAACGCGCCTACGAATCACCTGGGGGAGTTTGCGAACATTCTGATTCAGTGCATCTGGGGTGAGGCTTGAGGTCTGCATTTCTAAAAAGCTTCCAGGGCGCCTGGGTGGCTCAGTTGGTTAAGCCACTGCCTTCGGCTCGGGTCATGATCCCAGGGTCCTGGGATTGAGCCCCGCATCAGCTCCCTGCTCAGTGGAGAATCTGCTTCTCCCTCTGACCCTCTCCCTTCTCATGCTCTCTCTCTCTCTCAAATAAATAAATAAAATCTTTAAAAAAAAAAAAAAGCTTCCAGATGATAACCACGTTAGTTATCTATTGCTGCATAACAAATTGCCCCCAAATTTAGCAGTATGAAACCATAATAATTTACTGTCTCACACCGTGCCCGAGGGGCAGCCTAGCCGGAGGATTCTGGCGTGGGCTCTCTCAGGAGGTGACAAGCAGGCTGTCATTCGGGCTGCGGTCTCCAAAGGGACTGGCCCCTCCACTTCCAGGCGCACCCTGGGTGGTTGCTGTTGGCAGGAGGGTCCAGTCCCTCACCGTGTGGGCCTCTCCAGAGGGCTGCTTACGGGTGGTATTGCTTCACCTGAGACGGAAACCACAGTCTCTTTACACATAACCCCAGAAGTGACATGCCATCACCTCTGCCATATTCTATGTGTCAGAAGGCCACACAGAAGGTGAGAGGAATGACACTCCACCTCTAGAGCGGCAGAGAAGCAACACATGGGGCCATATTTTTAAAGCCATCACAGGCATCAGTCCACACTGAACAGTCTCTATAGGCCTGCTGCTGAGGTTGGAAAGTCACTTAACCTCTCAGTACCTCATCTGTAAAATGGACATAATGATGGAACCCATCACGTAGGGTTTTTGCCTTACGAATGAGAGGATGCACAGAAACCGCTCAGCACAGTACCCGGGGTGTGGAAGCGCTCGACTAATGGTAACCCCTGGGATTATTATCCATAATGTTGTCCCTTGAGAGGCTGACCTGTCTCCCAATGCCGGGGGGTTCCAGGCTCTGCTCTCTTGCTCCTTGGTCCCAGTGCCGCTCAGTGCACGTTGCCTTCTGTCCCCTGGAGCAACAAGGCGAGTACTGAATTGTGCCAGAATCCCAGAGACCTTCTCCCAGCCTCCAGCCTCCCGCAGAGGGGCTGCTGGGTGGGTGGGGTAGAGGGGAGCAATGCCTGGAGAGCATGAAACCAAGGTCAGGGATGCAGTACATACAGTCACAAGTGGTCATGGGGGGATGTTAAGGGTCATCTTAGAACTAGACCCACTGAATCAGAATCTCGGGGTAACCTGCTTTTCTAACACCCTCTGTAGGAGAATTCCTCTGTACATTGGAGTTTGAGAGGCACTGCACACAGATGTAAGAGATTTATTTATTCACCTACCCCCCCCCCCCAAAAAAAAGAACGGGAAGGCTTGACTGTGAGTTCCTGAGAACAATAATGAGCTGTCCTCCTGGGGCCTTGTCTGAGGCCAGAGCTGGACTGGCCCTGGGGTTGACCCGGTGCAGAACTTCTGTCCTGGTGACTAATGATGCAGCGCGGCCCAGCCTGACTGTGGTTTGTCTACAGGCCCCATGACAGGCCCATCCACCCAGATAACCACAATCTTGCTTTGTGGGATCAAATACTGGCTCAGGATTTATGAGTCCAAGAAACGACAAGGCTGTGCTAGAGAGGGGGCGGCGGAGGGCAGGGGGCGGCCTCGTCTCCCTCCAGAGCCTTGGCTGCCTTACCTAGCTTTGGGCTGCAGGGCAGGCCGAGAGGACAGGCTACTGACCATCTTGGGTCGGAACAGGGTCAGGGTGCCAATGACTAGCCTAGCAGCTGCTTCATGTCTGCACTCAACCCCTTCCACCGCTGCTAGAGGGTGAAATCATTGCCTGGTACACGCTGGTGCATCTTGTCATCCTAAAACTGGAGATGAGGTTAAAAATAAAAAGAAAAGCAGCATTCTCCCATTCTGTAATCAGGGAATGGAAAAGATGTTTGTCTTTGTTATCCCCTCCACGACGAGAATTAACGGCCTGCTGAGTGCTGAGAGGCTATGGGCTTGAGTTAGGAATTCCAGTAGGCATCTTTCTAGCTTGGTTCCTCCTTTAGGAGCTTGGGCCTGTGGCTCCCACGGCTTTGGAAAGTTAGGAAGTGTGGGCACACGCCAACCTGCGTGTCCAGGTGTCCTGTTCTTACGAATGACAGCAGGGCAGCGTTCACACACCGATTTATCCATTTATTCGTTCATTTAAGGGATTTGATTAAATGCTCTTTGCCAGACACTTTCTTTTTTTTTTTTTTTTTTTTTTTTTAATTTTTTTATTCTTATGTTAATCCCCTTACATTACAACATTAGTTTTAGATGAAGTGTTCCATGATTCATTGTTTGTGCACAACACCCAGTGCTCCATGCAGAATGTGCCCTCCTAAATACCCACCACCAGGCTAACCCATCCTCCCACCCCCCTCCCCTCTAGAACCCTGTTTGTTTTTCAGAGTCCATCGTCTCTCATGGTTCGTCTACCCCTCCGATTTCCCCCGCTTCATTCTTCCCCTCCTGCTACCTTCTTCTTCTTCTTCTTCTTTTTTTTTTTCTTAACATATATTGCATTATTTGTTT